AAAATAGTTGAACATCATGCTAGTGAGCACAAAGAACGCTGCCATGTGGAAATTTATAAAAAAGTACATGAGATTTTATTCCCAACGGACTGGCTGGACGATGCCTTCTACCTGACCCCTTTAAAAAACAGTGAGGATAGATGGTACAGCAAACAAACCATGGGCCATAATACCATACAGAAAATTGTGCCAGAAGTCTGCAAACAAGCAAGAATCGCTGGACACAAAACTAATCATTCCCTTCGAGTCACCACAGCAACTGAACTCTTTAACAATGGTATTCCAGAGCAACTTATTATGCAACGCACAGCCCATCGTAACGTAGAAGGTTGGTATTACTAATTGTTATTGAACAAAATGGCTTCTGTGTTTGAAAAATGTAAATTTTTCATTAAAATGAACACAACCTCACAAAAAGCCATTGAATATCCCAAAATATGATACACATACATAATAGTTGAAATGTTAACCTTTCTGTATTTAACTTCAGGGGTGAGAACATATAAAAGAACATCAAATGCTATGAAACATGAAATAAGTGAAATATTAAATAGTGAGAACGATGTCAGTAAGAGCGACGAGAGCAAAAACGTAAAAGATGAGGAAGACACCAGAAAAAAATTACAAGACCGAAAATTTAGCAAAACGGCTTTGTCTACAAACATCTACAGCAAATGATTCTAATCCTATCATTTATGCTACTAACTATATTATTAACTTTATAACGAAATAAAATTTATCTGCTGTGCTTTGCTTAATATGACGTCATCTGGGAGGGGGGGATATGGGATATCGTTCCAGGGATGATATCATATATCAATCACCCTCCGATCATCCAATCCTCGGTACGATATCTCTATTATCGTTTATGGAACATCAAAGACAACACACCGTGAAGGTGTGTATATTCTCCATATAGCCACTACAATACCCAATTCACTGGACAGTAGGTTGTCAAAAAAAAAGGCATGGGTTACAAACGGAAAACTTGTTAAGTGATAAGACAAAAAGAGAGAGAAATTGAGTTTAACGTCCACTCGACACACTAGGTCATTTCGGATCTAACATATGGTACAGTTTTATTTCAATAATTCGCTTTCAGATATAGGTCTTTAGCAGTGGGAGGAAATCACACTACTGAAATAAATGACAGACTTTATGATCCAATACACACACGTTAGACCTTAGACCACAAAAGCAAACGCTATTATTCTAAATATAGATACCAGGGGACCCGTTACTGAATCTAGTTTAAATTCGAGAAGATTACAGGTTTTATAATTTGTCTGAAATACCAACCTCGATGTAAGCGAACGTTAAGCCCCAAGTACAAACGAACGCAGGTTATATTACAGAAAACAGTTTCATCAGATGACATAGAATTTCAATACAAAACCGAAAGTGGTCGAAATTTAGTCAAACCGAAAAAAAACCCTTGAACTATATTTTGTTAACAATAATATTTTATGGCTATAAATGTATTAAAACCCAGGTTAGGCTAATCTGGGCTTATTGTTGTTATGGTAACATTGCGAGTCAATATCATGAATCTTGGATTAATCTCCCTAAATTGGCAATCAACGCATATTCCTGAAGCAATGGCCCAAGAAATCCCCCTCTGACAACGAAACACTACCAGGGATTTGTAACCGACCCTTTCTTGACTTTCAAAGAAAATGTCCTATTCAGAAACCCTATTCTTGGGTTCAAAAAGCTTACCAACACTTCTTAAAACACCGGTGGACAGTAATTGTTGAAATTCACCCCAAATCTATAGTGATATTCATTCCAAATAGACGAACAGTCTCTTAAAATTTCAAAATATATCCCGCAATGACGGCTGTCTCTGGAGTGTTAACAAGGTACGTGTATCTTAAATCAAAGGGAGTAACTCTGGCATAAGTTATTGTTGGAATTTGTTCAAAATCAATGAGAATCTTCCTTTTGAACAACTAAGCAATCTATTTAAATCTAAAAAAATCACTATTAAAAATGAAGACAAACGTGTATGTATTACGAAAAGGCGTGATGGGTAGACATAATTTCTAAATGGCTCCGAGCACTAATCCGACTCAATAGTATCGGCCAGGATTTAAACGCATGGTCTAGTAAATTATTCGTCAAAATTATAAGACAAAGAAAGAACTTGAGGCGTATTTGTGAAATGCTGAAAACGGGGTCATCAATAGTCAAGTATCTACCATGTCTTCATCGACACTATTCTTTTCCAATAATGTAAAATTGAATTTCTAGGTTTGTGGTTCGTTATTCATTGAATATGAAAGCTTTTTTGTTCGAAAAATCAATTCTATATAAAGACAATATTACCGATAAGGGAAGGTATTTTGCGCATAATTGAACACAGAGATTTTAATAGTGAGAGTAAACTATATGAATGGAAACTCGATAGAAAAGTCAATAGTTGCCAAAGGATCGTTATGATATCCCAATATTTGTCATTTTAATGAACTTAACTGACGTTTTTGAAATTCAGGAAGCCGGTTAAATTGTGTTAAAACGGGTAAAAACTAAGGAGCTGACGCAAGCATCACTTTATCACTTCTCAAAGTTCCTAAACTAGAAAAAGAAAATGTCACATTGTCAGTTGAAAAAGGTAACTTACTTAAAGGGACGATACAGAGTTCATAAATTTTCAAAATAATGAAATGGGGTTTAAAGTCTTTCTGCTGCAACCGGACTAATGAAGACTGACATACCCCATACAGTGTGCCACGGGAAAATTTTGCCCTGGCAGCAATTGAATTCCAACTGTCAATGGTTCTTTTATGTGCATGTCGATAAGTATAGTGCACGCCAACAAAGTATACACCGGACCTCGTTTTTTTCTTCCTGTCTGAAGGACTAGACACTGTTCTCTGCCACCCCCCCCCCTCCCGCGTCCTGAAATCTCGAGAAACTTTCTCGGCCAACACCTGGATCGAATCCGAGTGCTCCGGGTTAGAGAGCCAGCCCCACCGGGATTCCCTTTTCTAAATACTCAAATACACACAGAATTATGCGTGATTTGTATGTCCAAATATATGCATATGTGACTATTTGTTCAAAATGAAATGAAATGAAATGGGGTTTAAACGTCCTACTGTTCTGCTCCTAACCTGGGCTAATGAAGACGGGCATATAAAAAACTTGTATTCCATATAATTGTGTCACGTGTTATCATAAAGGATGTCTGGTACACGGTAAGAGTGATATATAAAGATTTTTGTAAACGGGCGATGATTTATCCGCCTTTTGTTTATCTGGTTTTGTTGTCGGTAATCGATCAAGATTATATTTAAGGATGGTTCATTCATTATCATATCGCTACAGACATTACAGAAATTTTGCATCATGCGACCTGATGGATTTGTTTTTTAAAAATGTGGTTGTTTTACGTCATTTCCTGTTCAAGTATGCTTCGATTAGTTATTTTGTTGTTTTAGCCAGGAATAGTATTAAACGGAACTGTTTTACAAACTACTCGTATTGATTAATAAATGGTTGCTCTGATAATGCATTGTATTAGTCTTTCAAGGGCTTGTACCGTTATTTTAATATATTTACAATGGGCTTCATTAACCCTTTTTCGTTTAATTTTACATTAAATGGTCGCTGCTGTGTGTTTAGGGATACGCCATTATAATGTATAGTCTTGTTGTTGCTGCATTGATTTCCGTTTATCGAACGTTCGAAACAATAGGCCGATCACTTCCTTTAGTTTAAGGAACAAATTCACGACAGTGTTGTGCACGGGGCAGAGTATTTCTTACTCTATCATATTTTGAGCTGGAAGCAGTCTTTAAATGTTTCTGGTTATTAGAAATATAATTTCAGACAAAAATGGCGTGTATTTGCTCGAGAAAGAGAGAGAGAGAGAAATGGGGTTTAACGTCCACTCGACACAAACTAGGTCATTTCAGGACTGACATATGGTTTAATTTTATTTCAATAATTCGCTTACGCGTAGGGGTCTTTAGCAGTGGGAGGAAACGGGAGGACCCGGAGAAAACCCACGAGGTTGGACAGGCGACCCTACCCCTTGTCTAGTACTACCGGGGATTCGAAACCACGCCAGTTGACTCAATGACAGACTTTATGATACAGCGTGCACACGCTAACCATTCAGCCCCCCCCCCCCCCGAGTTTGCTCGAAGGAATATATCTTTAAATAAGGCCCTCGTATAAAATACAAAGATAAAGGCTCCTGTTCATTTGGCAGTTTGTTGTATAGTGCATTTGGGACTTTACTAGTTTTCATCATAATATATATGCTTTATTTCAACCAAATACTATTTTTTTCCATATATTTACTAAATCTAAAGCCAGCTCTTTCTCGTATAGCTTACATTTATCTATGAAATGATTTCATCTGAAACTATGGCTTCCATAAATCATACGCTTAAACTGTTGAATAATCTTAGTAATAAAAAAAGGATATCTATCAGAGATTTAATTTAACTGATACACTGTTAGATTCAACACAGTCTAGCAATTGTATAAGTATAACATTCTCTTTCGTAGGCAATAATAACAAGAGAGAGAGAGAGAGAGAGAGAGAGAGAGAGAGAGGGGGGGGGGGGCAATTTTAACTCGTGTATACGAAGAATAAAACAAAAACTCTAGAATAAACATTTTTATGGAGATTTCGAATATTCAAATATTTTCCCGCTATAACGAGAGAGAGAGAGAGAGAGAGAGAGAGAGAGAGAGAGAGAGGGGGGGGGTAATTTTGACTCGTGTATAAGAAGAATAAAACATAAGCTCTAGAATAAATATTTTTATGGAGATTTCGAATATTCAAATATTTTCCCGCTATATTTAAATTATTTTTAACATATCTCCCCTAAACATACACGTCAGTTAAAGCTTCCCCACAAAGATATGCCTAATCCTGACAGATATTAGTTGGAATAGCAAATAAAGAATACTATGCATATTTGCATTTTGAAAGAGGGGCGGGGATTAAATACATTATAAAAAATCACAAAATTGTTACTTACCTAGAAAGTGTGCCAGAAGTCCTATAATAATGCCAACAACTATTACTGTGATAATAACAAAAGCTATTATCCATAATCGTTTTTTTCTACTGGATTTAGAAGATTTAAATGTCACCTCGTGTGGCTGTTGTGGAAGTGTGTGCATGTAATCCTTGGCACGTGCATGTGGTTTGGTTTCTTGATTGACAGCTTTACCACCATTGTAGGCTTTGGTGCCATCTTGCTCAACAAACAGTGGATTATCGTAGCATGCCTGAAGAAGAGTAACATGTTCATCACCAACTCGTCGATTCATCACTTTTAAGGGAATTTCCCTGATATCCCGCATAAAATGAGTAGCCATATTATCAGCCTTTTGTTTTAAGTTTATATAAATATTATCATGCACTTATAAAATCGATAGCTTCATCCTTTACACTCACCATTCTAATTCCACAGGATTTTTCAAAAATTAAAACCAAAACTTGTATTCAGTGAATTAAAATTCGTCACACAGAGAGAAATGAAGCAAATGTGGCCAAAATCCATAACAAAATCTAACAATCGAGTTACTTCATTTTGGTAGCTTTGCAAATTACACGGTCCTTGTACAACAACGATCACATACTACAACTCTAACTATATCCATATTCCCAGCGAAATCACAACTTTTTACCAAAATTTACTTCTGGTCACATTGCTTAGTTAACAAACATTTTATTCCACTTTTTAACTAACATTCCAAACGTTCCCACTGATAATCAAACGACAGAACGACGTGCGATCGACGACAGCCCAGGTACAAGTAGCCACATCAAAATTCAATATTCCGCGATACCGATTGACTATTTTGCCAGCAGTAACACCAATAAGTAAAAGCCTGTTGAAAAGTCGATGACTGGCATTGCAGACAACATATTTTTATTTTTGACAGCCGGCTTAATTAGCTTAATGAAAGGATGGTATATGCGTCAAACGATGTTGCTATTTATCCGCCCTCTATCTCTCTGTGTAGAAAGGTGTTAGCTTAATTGCGTGCCTCTTCTGATTAAAGTAAGTATCGTCCATTCATTTTGTTCTAAACTAAGCGTGCAGAATAAAGGATGGCATACATATAGAAACCAGAAATTAAGTCATGAGCAGCTTGGGAAATTCTACTGTTCCATCATTGTGCCAATTAATAATGAAAATATCAATAAATAGTGCAGAAGTAAGATGATATCTATGGTAATGAAGCCTATTGCAATAGCGAAGGTGGCCAAGAAATAATCATTGTCTTATACTATTCATAGAACTAGATTGCCATCATTGGTGAAATGAGTTTATGATGAGATGGATCTAATCACAAGCTTGGTTTAAGTGAGGTTTTATTCATGGTGTCTGATGAATCGAATTCTTTCACTTCAGCTGTTTGTTACTTGCACTTGGCATAAACCAAATTTGTTCGACCCCACGCAATTGCATAAGTCACCAGCGGTCACGTTTCTTTATCTGAATGAATAATAAGTAGTTTAAACGATAAAGGGATATTAGCCATCAAAAGAATGGGAAACAAGCTCGTTTGGGCATTCTGCATTTAGTATGAGATTATTGGTATTCATTTTTCTAGTTCAATATTATAGGATTCAGCTTTTATGTCACAATGTCAGTTTAAACAAAAGCATTGCGGGATTAAAGCTTTCCGTCTGTGAAGCTGAACTTCTTTGGTGTTTTATCCAGTCATTTTCAGTTCACGGTTAATATGAATAACGACAATTAACATAAGCAACAGTTGTTGGTCATTCCGAAAGATTAAAGTAACATTTGAAATCTATTTCGGTTATTAACAAAAGTTTTATATTAAATTGCCAGACTTTTTAGATATAATAGCATATGAATAACGACAATTAACATAAGCAACAGTTGTTGGTCATTCCGAAAGATTAAAGTAACATTTGAAATCTATATCGGTTATTAACAAAAGTTTTACATTAAATTGCCAGACTTTTTAGATATAATAGCATTGATTTCATGCTCAACAGTAATGTGATATTACTTACGCTGTTACTCCGATTTATCCTACAGAAGAATTAATTAGTGTCTGAACGTACATTGTAGATACAGACTTGATATTCGAGGATACTTGTCTACAGCTATATTGGATTCGAGGAAAACACCTAAAATCATATACTTTCAATTCATAGTAAAGGACATAATGAAGGGCAAACATATTTTCAAGTTGCCTCAATCACCTTTTTAATGTATTTTATGTTTAATTTACACTTTCCAAATCTTGTACACCTTGTTACTAAATCTTCCAACGTTTTATATTTCGAATAAGATCTGCCGGCACCCGAAAAAAGTAATGTGGAAGATGTAACAAAAGGCTGGTGTACATTAAAACCCGGTCATTTCATTTACGTGTCTTACAGAGAATCAGAACCATCCAATGATGATACTGCGATAAATATTCTATCATTATGTACGATTCTTCTCTCTCATCACAAAATATCGTCTAGACCGTGTTCAATTACAAGTGATTTAATCTAACATGACTAGACCTGTCTTCGTTCATTCTATACTTTTGCAGAGACTTTAATCTTTTTTTGTTACATTGTTTTACAGAACCATTGATCTTATACAGCCTTCCAATATTCACCGGAAACAAACCGTTTTGAAAATACCTACAATAAAACGAGGGTATGTGCCTGTAAGATCTATGTCATTACATTTAACAAGCAAAGGTCCGTGTCCAGTCCCTTGATCATTTTTCGCAATGTTCTGATCAACATTTAATGGCAGTAAGGAAACATTGATTACTATGATTACACGAAAGCCAGTCTAAATACAAGCTTCGGTGTTTGTATTAGGAAATACATGAGCTGAAGATAAAGTATTGCCTAGGTAAATTATATATTCATATCAAGGATGCAGTGACATGTCTTACAATTTATACTGCCCAGTGTCATAGTAAAGACATATATTTCTATAAAGGTTATTAGCAGTAAATCTTCTGTCTAAATGACGACATATTTGACGACACTGCTTAATGATGCTATCGCTGGGATATTACTCAAGAACAAAAATAACAAAAGTTGGTCACAAATTAACATCTTTTAAGTATGGTAAAAGATGAATCACTGGAAACACCATACTCCACAGTTTATGCTTCTGGATTAAATCTAGTAATGCAATAAATACAGAAGTGACCTTGAAAAGAAATGATAAAGGGGGCGATATGCATGGTGTAAAAGTGGTCAACGTAGAGGTGAAAAGCCTTCATTAATATGGTTAAGCAAGATTGCAAAAAATGTTTTATAACAATCTTAATCTTTTTTGGGGCATTTAGTAAAAGCCCAACTCACAGGCTTCTAAATAAAAATAGCCCTACACTCTTAAACCCGATTGACACACACGTTTACACAGGTTAAATAAAAGAACAGCTAACTGGTTTACTAAATGATAATTGAAAAAAAAAAATGATAATTAAAAAATTAGTCCATTATTGAGTGGAATATAATGGATATTTTATAACATATTTTTATAACACATAAAACTCGGAATTTTTTTTATATTACGATACTAACCTGTCTTTAAAACTTATAGACAATACTGCAAATATTTATGAATCTAAATGCTTGAGAATAAGCCATGCACACCATAATTAGCTTTAGACACATTATGGCCTTGAAATTCAAATCCGTATTTGTGAAGGACCCCATTTGGCATAAAAGGTGTTGGATCAGTGCCCATCGGAAGTCCAATTATCTGTTGAATGATTTTATTTCTGGCTGATAATTTAGCATCAGCTGGTGCAATATGTTTTTAACTGATCACTGTTGAAAATTGATGTAAAGTTGGCTCTAAGATTTTTTATCCATTAAGCTCCAGAGGCGTCTTTAAAAACCTACACACTAATTCAGATTAATATGAAAACGTTATCTTAGCCATGTGTGAACGGTCTGGACGTTTAAATTCTAAAAAGTAAACCACAGCCACTTGATATGCGATATAAAACGCATGGTTTGCAAACCAAAATGGCCAGCAACACAACCAAACAAAAAGTCGGTTTAGTTAGTTTCATAAACCGATTGAAAGGAAACTAAAACCGACTAATTAGACAGTTTGTCCATTTTGTTTAAATCCAAAACTAGTTTTCTTTCAATGAAATCGCTATAAGAAGGATATTGTAAATGTCAATTACAAGACAATAGAAGGGTACACGTATATCGCTACATCTAGTCAGAAATGTGGACATTAACTTAGAAAAAGCTATCTGTTACGACCAACAAACTGTCGCATAATGTTAATGTTAACTTGGTTCTAATAACCACATGTCAATCACAAACTCTGAAGGTGGTTAATTAAAATTGAAACTATGTTTAAATTATGTGCCAAAACAGATGTATAATTAAATTGGCTTGTGCTAGTTTAAATGTTTGTTCGCTACCACAAATAATCAAAGAAGCTTGGGGGTTGTTTCGACCCGACTATTCTTCCCTGTTCACAGAATTAACTGATCCTACATTTTTTCCTCTTTTTTTTTTAAAAAAAGGGAGATGTTTATCGAAGATCAATAAGATTGTTCTAATTGATCGACAATCTGTCACACTGAGTTCCTTTAAACCTGTGATGAACGAAGAGCATTACTAAAGCTAATCAATGGCGCTACCATTCAATACATATAGGCCTTCAATAATACGATACTGTCACGTGCTAGGAAAAAAAACGACTTAATGTCATCTATAGCAATGGATGACAAGTCAGATGAAATCAACCAGTTGACATTATCACTGTGGTTTTATCCCTCGTTTAATTTTATGTTGCTGTTTATTGAATTTGCTATAAGATCTTATAGTAAATCACATTAACTGGATTTCGGCATTGAAGGGGAAACAAAGAGGTACAAACACACACGCAGATGTGCCTGTTACTTTTTCTTTCCGGATAGGATATTATAACACGGTCTAGCAGGGTGACTACAGACCCAATCTCGCTGCTCTCAAATTAGAAATAATATAATTAAAGATCCATTATATAGATGCTAAATCTTCCTATTAAGGCTTCAAATGTTATATACATAATTAATTAGACGTAATCATAATCTAGACTATCGCGCGGATGGTTGTGATTTTGCACGTATTGCAACACGAACATTTAATAATTTAATTTAAAAATAGATAATCAAGACTATGTCTATTATCGTAACAACGGTAGCAATGGAAATCGAGACTACACCATTCTACACCATAATTTCGCCCAGATTGAAGTAATTTGACTGAAATTTTCAATACA